GCTACTAGTAACAAGTGCCTTACTAGTAGTAACAAGAAGCTACTAGGAACAAGTGCATCGCTAGTAGTAACAAGTGCCTTACTAGTAGTAACAAGAAGCTACTAGGGAGCAGAGGTAGTGCGGCCTGTTTCCTCCCAGGAAAAAGGGCTGCGGGCACAGAGTCCCGCAGTATGGCCATCATGTGGCATACTGTTGCTGAAGGCGTTGGGATGGGTTGAGACGGGGTCGGAAAGGGTGGCAGCTGTGTCCCGGTCCAACTCTGGAGGGGCGGCAGCTGGAAGATGCCCCACTTGGGTTGAAAATGAAAAGGCATCCAGTTCCGGTGTATATATGTTCAACAACATGTCCATAATTCCTCAAAAACGGGGGTGTTTTTGAGTAAACTGCTTTCCTTTTGAGTATCAGAAATCAATGCAAGGTGATTGGTTAGGCTGGAACGCCACGGTTTGATGAACAGTTTGAGCCACAGTTGGAGAAGCAGGGCATACCTCACGCAAACTAGAAAGTCTTAAGATCTGGGTTGCACTCTCACATTGTCGTACTACAGGCTAAAGTGCCTGGTTCTTTTCATGACCCTTGTCCACGGCTTTGCACCTTTGTGAGTGAAGATATATACAGTAAGGTGTTTGCAGCTGTGGCCGCTTCGATAGCTTCGGCCTGTGCAGGTTGTCTCAAGAGCCCATCCGCAATCCAGAGAGGTGGCTGTTGGTTGTACAGGCCTGATGCGACGCGAGCGGGGTGGAGAACCCAGAGTGTGAGGACCCTACTGGAGACCCAATTTGCCACCTGCACATGGGTGCGCTCATAGCTTGAGGAATGGCCACCTTACGGTTTGTGCCGCAATCAATTGTGAGCTAGTGTGGCAACTTGCTGACTTGCCGCAGGCTTTGCGGCTTGACATGGGGGGTTCGACCACCTAGGACCAGTTCCCACGATTGGCCTTGGACCTGACATTCGCTGCTTTGGTCGGCGTTCCGACGGTGCAGGCAGACCCACATGGTTCCCACCTTCCAGACAAATAGCCATACCCCATGGAGCCGCCATGCTACTGTTCCCACAGCCTGCCTGCCTGTTTGTGATCAACTTGAGAAGCGATCGGAGCCGAACCGGGGGAGAACCCAATGCAAGAGCCGAACATCTCTAGGCAACCGAAGCGGACCGAACAGCTCGCCGTTGAAGCCTGAAGCATCTGACTCAGCTGAAAGAGCCGGCGGTCGCGACACAAGCGATGCGGGCTTCTTTGATGTTGAGTCAAGACTTGAGTGCCCAAAAACATAGCTTCCAGAAGGGAATAACCATCAATGCCCCTCAGGAGCACTTCAGGTCTTGACTGGGCAAATGCAAGTGACATCAAGCAACTACGATGTGTCAATTTGTGGTTATATATGCTGACAGATTGGTCCAGTGTTGGGATCAACGACTTTTCCCTACTTGCATGTGCCTCTCGTGCAGGAGGCTAAGCACGTGGAGATTGATCCAAAGGTCTCTAAGCACCCGGGGAGTTCACGCACTGTGGAACGCTAATGCTGACCAAGCATTGACCCTTCCAAAGGGATGAGAATCCTAAAGCGCGTCGATTGTGTGAATTTGTTGGTACGAATGATCGGACCCCCGATAGCCTTGGAGGATCTTCACGCTCTTGGAAACATGGGCCATGACCGTCGGTCGTGGAACCTCACCTGATCTTCCATGTGACCCTTCATTGGCTCTTGGCCAAAGGAGGGGTTGGTCAGGAACTTGTTTACAGTTTCTTTGATCTATATATAATATACACTACACTGCCTGGAATGATCATCAGTATCGGAATTGGACCACGTTTCGAGTTGCATGTCCTTGTGGCACACTATTGTATTGTATTTCCTGTGAGAAAGATGTGGCTTGGTTCAATCCGAGTGCCCACCAGAGGGATGACGTAGTGGATGACGGTTGTGGATGACGCTTATGTTGCACAGCCAGGAGCTGATAGAGGAAGTTGGACGTGCATCAACCTGAAATTACGAATTCTAGGGCTAGGGGCATGCAATGTTGGGATTGGTAGAGCGGAACGGGATCCTCAAGCTATCTCACGCTAAGAAATCACTGGGCTTGCTTTGCTCTCCAGGTTCTCTTGCAAAAACACGCTATTGAAACCAAGTCCACCAGTGTCGTGTCGAAGAGTGTTCTTGACCAAGCACAGCTTGGCCTTGGAAGGGCGTCCTGAAAGGGACCACTTCCGCCCTTTGCGGGGCCGAACTTTAGATCGGACCTGGCAGTTCCCGATGCTGCAGAGTTCCCACCGCAAAGAGATCCTGCTTTGTGGTGCTCAAGAGAAGCCGAAGATAGAGCTTTTTGGGATGGCATGATGTAGAATATTGTAGAATCATTATGAAATTTATGAACCATTCAAGTCACATGATTGGTAAATGAAATCAGAGATGATTTCTAGATGTTCAATGATGTCCAATGATTTTCTGGAAGACCACCACCCACTTTTTCTTCTCGTAAAGGCGAACTCAGGATGTGCAGATGGCCCAGCGAGCCGAGGGAGCGAAGCCCACTCCGGGGCTTGTGAAGGTGATATTTGATGATGTGATGTATAGATTTTAGATGTATTGTATGCATTGGTCTCGGACCTGCTTTCTTGCTCACTCGGCCCCCACGGGCATGTTTTTTTGAGTCTCCACTTCAAAATATATGAGGAGAGGAAGGCGACCGACCGCGACCGTCTGCCAACGGCAGCGGTCTGAACCCTAGGCTCGGGCAAGGCCGCAGAGGTGCAGAGGCTTTACTATATTTTGATACTCCGGAAGCCTCTTTTAAGGTCGGGTGTATCACTACGGTGCCGATTTTTGAGCTCCAGTGGTGGTTCCAAGAGGCTACTACGTGTTTGATCGTTCTTGAACAGATGTTTTCGTTACAACTGCATAGAGCTCCGTTTCTATGCATAAACATATTATGTGTGTGTGTGCGTACTTAGCTATACTTAGCTCTACCCACTAGAGTAACACTTCCCACCAGTATTTCGCTTCTTGACCACAGGCCCCTTCAGTGTCAGAGACGAGTCCGACCGGGATCAGACCGCACCAGACTGGGCACGACCTCGATTCAAAGCGAAAAAAGGCACACGTGAGCATGCGTGAGCCAACATCTTTGGTCCGCTGCCCCCATCGAGTTTGGGGCATTTTTTTACATCTTGGACAATCATAGAGATGGACTGCCACAAGTGCCACAGAATCACGAGCTCGATGAGATGGAATCTGGCATAGACGCAGCTTCTTCGTTTTTGTTTACTGGACGCTCGCTCTGAGCCGTGCCCCAGGTCATGTTGCCAGACCCACCGGCACTCTTGTGCAGATTTGCGGCTGTTCCTTGCAGCGCCGTGGACGCAGTGGGCGGTTGCTCATGCAAAGATCTGAGGAGGCATAACAGGTTCCATTCAAGCTGGTGGTTGCTTGCGGCTTTGTTTATACCACATTTATATAAATGATTGTTTAATGTTTAAAGTGAAAAGTTCGAAGACTGAAAAGACTTCGAGATTCCGGACTTCGCCCCTTACCGGCCCGCCATGCTCAGAGTCTGAGATATTCTGAGCTTCAAGGAGTTCAGAGTGTAGGTCGATGTAGATCCAAAACAGTGCGGTGGAGCTTGGTAGCCATTTTGCCAGATCTCTTGACTAACTAGTTCACTCGTGACAGTTGGGGCCAGACCTTGCAAAAGTTGGCATACTCGCGGGTCCTTCGGGTGACAAACGCTGCCGGATCCCAGACCTGGTCGGTTCCCGAATACCATGCAGAGTTGAAGGTGGAGGCAGGTCGACGGATGTTTGTCGAAGATCGGTGAAAAGCCTTCTGAGTTTGGTTTGGAGCATGTGGGAGCCAAAGTGCCGCCGTGAAGCTGCAGCAGTTCTTGGATACTGCGCTTGCAGAGCACAGTTCTTAGCCATGCTAGATGTCCAACGCAGTTAGTGAAACGTTAATCCCTTTTTGAAAAAGAAGCTCGGACAGCTATGCTTCTCACACTCCTAGGGTGCCACCGTTGGTGGGAGGCTTTCACCGGGTTTTCGCAGGTGGCTGGCGAGGACCTCCGATGTTTGGGCCACGACCTGTACCGAGACTACTTTGAGGATGTCCGGCAGCATGTCGAAAACCAGACGTTGCAGGCGGGGCGGAGGCAGTGAAGGCCCCAAAGAGCCGTAAGTGCTCGAACTCCTGAGGAGTGTGGCGCGTAAAACTGCAAGCGCATTTGGTGCTATGAGTGAGGTCACATGGACAAGCATTGGCCACCCTCGTTTTTCGGAAGCATACGTTGGCCTGTTCAAAAGCCTTTGGGCCCCATCCGAACCACCCAAAACTAAACCCACCACCCCAAACCAGCAAAATACAGCACTCCAATCACTAAAACCACCACACAAAGCACTGTAACTGTAACTATAGCCACCAAAACTTTGCTTCCCTAACCAGCGAACATCCATCTCCCCAACCACCAAAACCACCAAAACCCATCACCCCAACCAACAAGACCCACCTCAACCAAAACCATCCACCCCAATGACCTGTATCAATCACAGTGACTTTACAGTTGTGCGTGTCTACCAAATGTACGGCCCGAAGAAATTCCATCAGATTACATGTTTCATAGTATGCTCATCACATTTCTGGTAAGACATATCAATAGTTATCAATATTCCCAGGGTTGGTCTCAGGAGGGCATCCTGGGCTCACGTGTGGAGAAGCTGGTGGCGAACTTGGCGCCCAGCCTCATGGGGAGCTGCCCAGAGGTCTCTCTTCTAGGTGAGCTTGTCGAACTCCGCCAGGTGTTGAACAGTGTTGATAGCGGGTTCTTTGGGCCAACAACTAGGACAGGAAAGCCATGTTGATCCTTTTTGCCTTTTGTCGTCCAAAACCTGAGCCCAACAGTCCCCGCCAGGCTACCATTCCCTGCATCCATCATCAACCCTTTTTGCTCTGAGCTTCTATCGGCGTTTCTTGGACTCATTCGACGCAGCGTTTCCCAAAAGAGAGGTCGTATTGTGGTGGTGGAGCGGATCTGCCAGAGCCTTCTACAGAACCCACTTTCGGCAGATGCTTCAGACAGGCGGGGGCCGGGGAGTCCCTGATCCGTCATCGTTTCGTTTGAAGGATCAGACATTGACTGACTCTAGACTCTAGCTGAACCCTGCAGTGAGGGATTTGTTCTGGCGCGCGGGTCCCCAGGCCCTGTTGAAAGGTGTGGATTCACTGGCGGAGATCGCAGATGCCGGTGGCATCCTTTGTTCTTTGTGGTGGTGACATGTAGTAACTGGTCACACTGGAGGCGATTAATGGATGAGGGAGCTCCCGGGTCCTTGCATATTCTTTGGGTGTCCTGAGTTCTGTGGCTTTTCGAGTCCTTTTGCCCAAGAATGAACATGCACTACTTTCGATACTCGAGATTCAGAGCAGAGGCAGGAAGTCCTCCTACAAGACGTGAAGGATATGATCCCAAACTTGGAGGCCAACCTGCAACTTGGCAGAGTCACTGTCGAGTTGAGCTGTGAGAGCCTGGTTGCGGGTGAGAGGCAGCACAAAGTGGAGACAGACACCAACCGTTTGAGGCTCGTGCATGGCATGTCCTGTAGTGTTTTTCGTCTCCCCCTCAACACATCTTGAGTGTTGGAGGGTGTCAGCCGCATGCACAGGCAACGCCATTCACTTAGGAGAATTGGATATCTCACGCAGCTGCCTGAGCTCATTGTATCTCACCTTCTGGAGGGTGCTTGCGGGAAGATGATCCAGGCGTCTTTCTTTCTCGGCTGGTCGACTCTGGGGGTAAATCCTGGGTGCTTTCGGGTTTCGGGCGATGGCGCTTTCGGAGAATGGAAGGAAGGGGAAGGACTGTCATAATCCTAAGTTTAACTTGGGGCCGCCGGATGGTTTGGCAACAAGAGACAGACGATTTCCGGTGATTGTCTTCCATGAGGATCTTTGGGAAATCGGAACAGGCATTGGTACAGGGTTGCTCAGCCGTATTGTTGCTGCGTACGTTGACTCTTTGTCCACGGTGGCTCGCCAATGCCCCAATTTGCAAGCATTTGTGTGCAAAAGTAACGGCAACGGCGGAAACTGTCATTGGCTTGGGAGATGTTCCTGAAAAGCAGAAAGGTGAGGACCTGCTCATTTGTCCAGCAGAGGGTTCTCCCCGGTGTTGCATGTGGAGACGAAGCAAGTTGCCCTTGGATCGGCTGGACGGGGCGTTCTCAACAACATATTTGGATCCTCATGACCAGTGTCCATCATCCTTTCCCTTAGTCGTGAAGAACACGTTTTTGATCGGAGTTACTGCACAGTTGCCTCACAGCTCGGGTCGGTGCGCGTTCTCTTATGCGGTCCGCTTCTGACCGCATCAGGCTGAGCGGGATGCTGGCGAAATGCATGGAGCTATGACCTCAGACCTGGTCGGCGTCCTTGTGTTCTAACAGTGGTGCGCTAGCAGCGACTACTACAACTACAGTTGTAGCATGTACAGTGGAAGTGAGTGCAGCCAAGATCCAGAGATCCAGGTCTCCTTCAGCTGAAATAGTCTCGTGACCAATGCAGGCCCAAGGAGTCAACTGCAGGTTGGAAGCTCTGAAGACTGCCCACATCATAGCTGGTGCATATTCCATGAGTTGCGGGTGCTTGAGCCAACCCACATCTTGAACAGGTAAAGCAGACTCGCTCCAAATGATGCAACCCCACCACACCACCCTTCCGAATGATCGGTTTGCAACCTTGGCCGCGGCTCCCTAGCCGCCGGTGGTCTTTTCACGGGGTCGTGAGCATCGCATCGAAATCAATCGAGAAAAAAAGAAAAAGAACGTCGAGCGTCCAGAACCACGTCGAGCGCCAAGGTCTTAGAGCCCAGCTATCGTTGGCCCCAGCCGCATTTGGCCGACGAATCGTTAAAGCAACGCGGCCTGGACTGTGAAGAGGCGGAGCTCATCCAGGCGGAACTTCTACAAAAAACAGCGGGTGACTGGTGGTGACAGCGGGTGAATGCTTATTTGGGTGTTCAACAAAGGTTTTGGGGTTCGGAAGCAGGAAAATGCAAATCAGATCAAGTAATTCACAGAGATGCCTCAGAGTTGCTGACTTGGAGCTGCCTGGAGTGACTTGTGTGGATGCATGCAAGTCGATAAACCTGTCAATCAACACTTGGTTAGCTGGTGGTGAAAGTGAGATACTTGAGAAACACAGATTTGATAATCGGGAGTATCAGGAACAGGAGAGAAATGAGTTGGAGCAGGAAGATTGGCATGGTGCAATCGCAATGCGTCTCTCGGAAAATCACTTGGTTGATCAATCGGCATTTCTTGATTTGT